GGCTCCAGGATCACCCCCCGGGGCAAAGAGACCCCCCGGGACAGCGATGTCTCCTGTGGGATCGTCCCCGTGGGATCGGGAACAGTCGGAGCTTCTCCAGAGCTTCTCCGGAGCTTTGCCAGGATCTTCTCTGGAGCTTTGTCAGGATCTTCTCCAGAGCTGGAGCTGCTGAGGAGCCCTGAGGGGCACAGGGGGGTTTTGGGGGGCTCCAGGATCACCCCCCGGGGCAAAGAGACCCCCCGGGACAGCGACAGCTCCTGTGGGATCGTCCCCGTGGGATCGGGAACAGCCGGAGCTTCTCCAGAGCTTCTCCGGCGCTTCGCCAGGATCTTCTCCGGAGCCGGAGCTGCCGAGGAGCCCTGAGGGGCACGGGGGGGTTTTGGGGGGCTCCAGGATCAACCCCCGGGGCAAAGAGACCCCCCGGGACAGCGACAGCTCCTGTGGGATCCTCCCCGTGGGATCGGGAACAGCCGGAGCTTCTCCAGGAGCCGTGAACGGGACGGAGAATCCAGGGGGCTCCAGAGGATTTGGGGGGCTCTGGGACCCCCCCGTGGGGACACTGAGACCCCCTTGGGGACACTGAGACCCCCCCCGAGACACTGAGACCACCCATGGGGCAGTGAGACCCCCCCGGGACAGCGACGTCTCCTGTGGGATCGTCCCCGTGGGATTGGGAACAGCCGGAGCTTCTCCCGGAGCCGTGAACGGGATGGAGGATCCGGGGGATATGGGGGGCTCTGGGACCCCCCCTTGGGGACACCGAGACCCCTTTGGGGACATCGAGACCCCCCTGAGGACAAGGAGACCCCCCTGGGGACACCGACACTCCTGGGACACCAACCCTTCCCTCTGGATCATCCCCGTGGGATCGGGAGCAGCCGGAGCTTCTCCTGGAGCCGTGAATGGAATGGAGGATCCGGGGGGGCTCCGGAGGATTTGGGGACACCGAGACCCCCCCTTGGGGACACTGAGACCCCCTTGGGGACAAGGAGACCCCCCTGGGGACACCGACCCTTCCCTCTGGATCGTCCCCGTGGGATCGGGAGCAGCCGGAGCTTCTCCAGGAGCCGCGACTGGAATGGAGGATCCGGGGGGGCTCCGGAGAATTTGGGGACACCGAGACTCCCTTGGGGACATCGAGACCCCCTTGGGGACATCAAGACCCCCTTGGGGACACTGAGACCCCCCTGAGGATCCCAAGAATCCCGGGATTGTCCCCGTGGGATCAGGAACAGCCGGAGCTTCTCCTGGAGCCGTGAATGGGATGGAGAATCCAGAGGATTTGGGGGGCTCTGGGACCCCCCTTTGGGGACACCGAGACCCCCTTGGGGACACTGAGACCCCCTTGGGGACATCAAGACCCCCTTGGGGACACCGAGACCCCCCTGAGGACCCCAAGAATCCCGGGATTGTCCCTGTGGGATCGGGAGCAGCCGGATGGGACCGAGGGCGTCCCTTGGATCCATCCCGGGGACTTTTTGGGACCGAGGAGCTCCACAGGGACCTGGGGGGGTCCATATGGGATCAGGGGGACCAGGACCCTCCATATGGGATTGGGGGTGTCCCTGTGGGGCCGGGACCCTCCATAGGGGACCAGGAGTGTCCATATGGGATTGGGGGGACCAGGACCCTCCATACGGGATCGGGGGTGTCCCTGTGGGTCCAGGACCCTCTCTGTGAGATCACAAGTTCTGTAGGGGACCAGGACCCTTCATATGGGATCAGGGGTGTCCCTGTGAGTCTGGGATGCTCCATATGGGACCACAAACTCTTTGGGGACCAGGAGTGTCCATATGGGATCAAGGGTGTCCCTGTGGGGCCAGGACCCTCCCTATGGGACCACAAACTCTATAGGGGACCAGGAGTGTCCATATGGGATTGGGGGGACCAGGACCCTTCATATGGGATCGGGGGTGTCCCTGTGGGTCTGGGATGCTCCATATGGGACCACAAGCTCTATAGGGGACCAGGAGTGTCCATATGGGATTGGGGGTGTCCATACAGAGCTGGGACCACCCCCTTTGGGGCCAGGACCCCCCATATGGGACCAAGACACTCCATATAGGACCAAGACACTCCATATGGGACCAAGACACATATGGGAGCGGAGCTTCCATAGGGGACCGAGAGGATCCAGACAGAGCCGGGACCATCCCTGTGGGGCCAGGAGGCTCCATATAGGGCTGGGACCATCCCTGTGGGGCCAGGAGGCTCCATATAGGGCCGAGGGAGCCCTGTGGGGCCCAGGACTGTCCCTATGGGGCCGAGGGATCCTTGTAGGGCCTGGGACTGTCCCTATGGGGCCAAATGGTCCCTGTGGGGCCCAGAACCCCCCCTGTGGGGCCAAGAGATCCTTGTAGGGCCCAGGACCATCCCTATGGGGCCAAGGGGTCTCTATAGGGCCTGGAACTCTCCTTATGGGGCTGAGGGGTCCCCACAGGTCCCAGAATCCCCCTACGGGGCCAAGGGATCCTTGTAGGGCCCAGGACTGTCCCTATGGGGCCGAAGGGTTCCTATAGGGCCCGGGACTGTCCCTATGGGGCCGAAGGGTCCCTGTGGGCCCAGAACCCCTCCTATGGGGCCAAGGGGTCTCTATGGGGCCAAATGGTCCTTGTAGGGCCCAGGACCATCCCTGTGGGGCCAAGGGGTCCCTATAGGGCCTGGAACTTTCCCTATGGGGCCGAGGGAGTTTATAGGTCCCAGAACCCCTCCTATAGGGCCAAAGGGTCCCTATAGGGCCCGGGACTGTCCCTATGGGGCCGAAGGGTCCCTGTGGGGCCAAGGGGTCCCTATAGGGCCCAGAACCCCTCCTATGGGGCCAAGGGGTCTCTATGGGGCCAAATGGTCCTTGTAGGGCCCAGGACCATCCCTGTGGGGCCAAGGGGTCCCTATAGGGCCTGGAACTTTCCCTATGGGGCCGAGGGGGTTTATAGGTCCCAGAACCCCTCCTATGGGGCCAAAGGGTCCCTATAGGGCCTGGGACTGTCCCTATGGGGCCAAAGGGTCCCTATAGGGCCTGGGACTGTCCCTATGGGGCCAAAGGGTTCCTATAGGGCCCGGGACTGTCCCTATGGGGCCGAAGGGTTCCTATAGGGCCCGGGACTGTCCCTATGGGGCCGAAGGGTCCCTATAGGGCCCGGGACTGTCCCTATGGGGCCGAAGGGTCCCTATAGGGCCAAGGGGTCCCTGTAGGGCCCAGAACCCCTCCTATGGGGCCAAGGGGTCTCTATGGGGCCAAAGGGTCCCTATAGGGCCTGGAACGTTCCCTGTGGGGCCGAGGGGATTTATAGGTCCCAAAACCTCCCCCTGTGGATCCAAGGGGTCCCTATAGATCCCATTTCCCCCCCCCCCCCCCCCGGGAGCAGCTGGAATTTTTTGGGAGGGGGAGCAGAACCACAAAGGCAATAAGGGGGGGTTTGGGGTCCACCCCTTTCCCCCCCCACCTTCCCCTACAACCCCTCCCCTCCTCATTTCCAAGGGTTTAAACCCCTCAATAATTAATAATAATAATAATTAACGCCGAATAATTAATTAATAATAATAATAAGGATCTTCCAGGCGCAGGAAAAGTTAAAAAAAAAAAGACAAAAAAGGCACTTTTTACCCCCCCAAAAAAACCCCAATAAATTATTTTCTAGACGAGCGGCTCAGGAAGGGGGGAAACCCCCCCCCCCGCGACCCCAAACCCCCTCCCCGACCCCAAAACCTCTTTATAAAAACACTATATTTGTATAAATGGCACCGTTTTTACCCCGATTTTCGACCTTTTCTTGCCGGTTTTTGGGGTGGGGGGGGGGAGGGAGAGGAACCCACTAAACCCCCCCCCATAATTTGAGGGGGGGTGACCCCAAAAAACACCCCCCGACCCCTTTTTTTTACCCCCCTCCTCGTCTTA